CAAATTCTTCTGCTAGTTGGGGTTTAGTCCAAATCTGCATCCTTTCCTTCAAGGCTCAGGGGTCCAAGATTATCTTCTGTGTCTGTATTTATTGGTTTCCCTTTTCTTTGTTGAAGAGGGTCTGTGCAATCCTTCTGCCTAGTCCGCCATCTTGCCCCGCCTCCCCTCATTTTGTTTTAAAACTAAGCATTCTTCATATTATTTGTTAGGCAATAAGAAAAAGGGTAACTATAACTTCTTACTCTTCTTGCTTAGTCAGACTGCTATAATGCAAAGATATGCAAGTGCCTATAGAACACCAGAAACCAAACCAAAATAGTTGCCATCAGGTCAACTCCAACACATGGTGACCTCATGAGTATCAGAATAAAACTGTACTCCAGAGGGTTTTCAGTGGTGGGTTTTTGGAAGTAGATCACCAGGCCTTTCTTTTGAGGTTCCTCTGGATAGACTCAAACCTCCAGAATCTTTTAGTGAGCAGCTGAGTGTTAACTCTTTGTACCACCCAGGGACCCCCTACAGAACACAGTGCCTGACAAAAAGGTGTTATTCAGAGAATATGAATGGAGTATGTTGAAGCAGAATGTCCCAGGACCATGTGATGGCAGGAAGGCAAGGCCAGGTGGGAATCAAAGGAGGACTAGAACATAGGTGAGAAGAAAATTAAAGCAGTACTGCAGTGGCACTGCCAGTCCCTTGTCCACTCAGCTTTCCGCATGACCAACATTAATCCTCTGATTCTCTCCCTGCCTTCCAGGAGCTGTGTCGGCAGCGCATGGCCGTGAGGTCTTCAGAGCGCCCGGAGCCCCTGCACACTTCCCGTATCAATAGTGTCTCCTCTCAGTTCAGTGATGGGCCGATGCCCAGCCCCTCGGCTCGGAGCAGCACCTCGTCCTGGTCAGAGGAGCCGGTTCAGTCTAACATGGACATCTCCACCGGTCACATGATTCTGGTAAGGTCCATTCTTTTCTGTGTCAGGTGAAAAGTAGTTAAGACCATCTTTCAAGAAGGAGAGAAAGGAAAAGCCTGACAGGAATTCTCTCACAAGTATAAACTCTTAGTTCCTACAGCACATAAAAGCAGCATTTTTCATAACCATAGTTGACAATAAGATTGATGATCCTGTCTTACCTTTTTAGGAAGCTGACAAGTAGGACAGGAAAGACCCAGATGTCAGGACTCTTTCTGCATTAAATCCTCTAATTTAAATGAACATGAACTTACTTACATTGGTATTTCTTCCATTCTTCTGCTTAGAATACTCAGCCTACACACATGCTTAATCATGTATAAGGTTTTTTATTGGTTATTTTACTCTTAATGCTGGGAACACACATCTATTAGTGCCTACTGTGTGTGCTGCTTTTTTTAGTCTTCTGACTAATAAACAGCAGTTGGTTCCTTCCCCCTCAGTTCCCAACTCACCAAGAATCATTTGGGTAAATAAATGTCACTCATATGCTGCTTATAATTAAAAGTGACACCTGGAAGAGTGGAGGGTTTTAGTGCATCACTCCTTCATAAAAAGATTTTCTGGAGGGATTTCGAACAGACGTTCTCCATTGTGATGAAACGTCAGAGAGGTGACTGCACCATGTTTTGTCTTTCCCCGAGCTGAGTGTTGTTATTGGATTAGCCCTACATGGGGTGGCTATGGATTGCTGCTTGATGCATAATTAATATCTGAGTTTTATTAAGAGAGATGTTCATAATTCAGCACTTCTTACTCTCTCCTGAAGGCAGAAGAATAATGCTGTTCTGAATTTTCAAGCCGCAGGCATCTTCTTGTTTAGTAATTGTAAAAGCTAAAATACAAAGCATCCTAACTGCATTATTTTCTTATATTGGATATGGAGCATCTTGTTGGGGAGAAGAACCTTACTCTACTGCTGGGCTGAGGCAGCTTATGTACTTAGGCATCAGGGAAATGTTTTTCACTGTGCAGTTGATTTTCCAAGTCTCCACATGGACCCTAAAAAAAAAAAAGAAACCCACAAACTCACTGCCATCGAGTCAAATCCGACTCATAGCAACCCCTCCTTTGGTTTCCCAGGCAGTATCACTACAGAAGTAGATTGCCCAACCTTCCTTTGGAGGAGTGGATGGTGGGTTTGAACTGCCAGTCTTCGGATTAACAGTCAAATGCCTTAGATACTATGCCACCAGAGCTCCTATATGGACCCTGCCAAGTGTTTTTTGTTTTACACTTTTTTTTTCTTTTGAAACTTTCTTACCTGATTATTTAATAGTGACATACACTAGAGGAGTTAGACCACAAAAAGGCAGAAAGCTGTATTTTTACTAAATGGCCTCATTGTACAGGCTAGAAATTAAGCATCATGGATTCTTCTGATGATACCATGAGGCTGTTTGGTGTGTTAAAACATGGCCCATGGGGCAGCATTACTGGTGGTTCTCACTCCTGGAGAACTCTGTCATGCCAGGAAACATGCTTTTCTAAACCTATTTGGACCAAACATGTAGGAAGACTGATGAATGCCACAGTCTGCTTTAGAAATCACTTAAAACTAAACCAAATCAAAGTCAGGAAGTTTAGCTTTTCTGAGCTATTGAGCTGGAAATTATAATCACAATGGTTCTTTAGCAGTTTGGCCACCAAGTTCTAAGACGTGACCTTACTCTCTATTTTCTTGGCCAAACTTTATCCATCGAACCTTATATCCATCCTAGGATGGAAAGACTCCAGTGACATAAAATCATCTGCCAAGAAATGCTCTTCCTGTTGAGTTGGCTATATAGCGAATTATTTTTAAGGTTTACGAACAGAGTAGTTCATTCAGCAAACATTTATTGAGTTCCTACTGTGTACCAACAGCTGTTCACTTTGAAAGAACCTTGTCTCTTAATGAATAGTGGTTATATTACTTTGGATCTGACTGTTTTAGAGAATATATCAACATTTGTCCTCTTGAGGAAGAGAAACTAGATTAAAAGTTGAGATTTCTAATGAGATTCAATATTGGGACCAAATGAACCAGCCTAATACATTTATCTGACAAGTTAGCTATGTGGAAATTTGTTAAGAGAGCTTTTTATTATATTCTCTTTTTTCCCCTTTTTCAACATTTTATTGTTCTTTAGGTGAACACAATGGATTAGGTTCCCATTTAACAAGTTTTATACAAATTGTTCCATGACTTTGGGTACAATCTTCACAATATATCACCATTCTCATTATTTTCATTCAGTTTTTTTTCTGTTTCTATTGATCTAGCTTCCCTTCTCCTCCTTGCCTTCTCATCTTCGCTTTTGGGTAAATGGTGACCATTTGGTCTCATGTAGTTAATTGTTTAAGTATATATTAGTCACAAGTGATATTGTTTATTTTATAATCCAGTCTATTGTTTGGCTGAAAGGTGACCTGCAGGAGTGGTTTCAGTTCTAGATTAAAAGGGTTCATTAGGGTCATAGTCACTATCAGTCCAATAACTCTGTTCTTTTTTTTTTTTTATATATGAATTTGAATTTTGTTTTACATTTTTCTCTCATTCTAAATGGGACCTTCAGTTGTGTCCCTGATCAGAATGGTCAATGGTGGTAGCCAGGAACCATCTACCATATTTTTACACAAATAACGTGTACAGTTTTTTTGCAAACTGTGCAACTCCCCTACGTGTTCATTTCCTATTCACACAAACACATTATATGATGTGCATTTTATTTACATGGACATATCATATGCAAAGAATGTGGTAGTTCTCTGGTCTCAGGTTAGAAGGGGCCATGGTTTTTGTAGGCTGTTAGTCCTGTGGACTAGTTTCTTACTTGAATCTTTGGTTTCCATCATTCTACTTTACTCCAGATGAGTAGAAAGCAATAGTTGTGTCTAAGCTGCTCACAAGCTTTTAAGACCACAGGCACTACTCACCAAACTAGATATCTTTATGGACTATGTTATTTCAGCTGACTAAAGTTATCCCATGAGACCATGGTCCTAAGCCCTTCATCTCAGTAAACCAATTCCATGAGTTGTTTCAATATTCCTAGGAGCTTACATACACCAAAGAGCTCTGGTAGTGTAGTGGTTAAGACACTTGGCTACTAACAAAAAGTCAGTGTTTCAAACCCATAAGCTGCTCTGTGGAAGAAAAGTAAGGCAGTTCTGCTTCTGTAAAGGTTTACAGCCTTGGAAGCCCAACGGGGGTCACTATAAGTCGGAATGGACTCAATGGCAGTGAGTTTGGTCTTAGTTTATAGATACACCAGAAGCTCTGGTGGCATAAAGCTCTTGTGGCATAGTGGTTAAAGCATTTGGCTTCTAACAATAAGGTCAGCAGTTTGAATCTAGCGGTCAACCCTGCCAGAGAAAGATGAGGCAGTCTGCTTCCGTAAAGAAGCCCTATGGGGAAACCCTGTGGGGCAGTTCTGCTCGGTCGTCCTTTAGGGTCACTTATGAGTCAGAATTGACTAGAAGGCAGTAGGTTTGGTTTTGTAGGTACACCTGTACTACACAGGGAGCTCTGGTGGCATAGTGCCTAAGGCATTTGACTGCTAACTAGAAGGCTGGCGGTTCAAACCCACCAGCCACTCTTTAGAAGGAAGATTGGGCAATCTGTTTCCATAGTGAAACCCAAGGAGTTCACTATGAATCAGAGTCAACTCCACGGCAGTGAGTTTGGTTTTGGTATACTACACAGGATGCACTCACATATGCCTTCATATAGACATATGTACATATACTTCTACCTATGTAACCACATACGTGCTTTTTTTTGGTTGTTATTACTGTTGTTGCAAAATTGAATGTTATACCATTTACTAAAGTTGTTCCTTTTTCTTGTATACTTTTTAGTGTCTTCATTTCCTTTGGTCAAGTTATGTGAATTCTACCTCAATTTGGTATTGCCTTTCCCATCACCAAATATAACAAGTGTCTACTATCTAGACAGTGATTACTCCTTCCCAACCCTGGTAACCATCAAATAATGTTTCTTTTTATGTGTATATTCCTTTTTAAAATAATAGGACCACATAATATATTTTTTTTCTTTTTTTTTTTTTTATTAGGATTTGGGTGAAGATTTACAGAGTAAATTCACTTTTCATACAGCAGTTCACATATACTTTGTCTCATGTCATTGACC